AAAAAGCAAGGACACTGATGCAATTTCCCACCGATCCGGATCTCCCGTAATTGGCCCAACCTTCCCAGCTTAGGACCCCTCGTTGCAACCGCGCAGAAAGTCGCGTGTTACAGAAAGTGGTTCGTCACAGGAACGCGAACCAACCCGGATCTCTCCTTAGCCCACTGGGTAGGTTGGCACCACATCTGTGGTGTGAGAGCAAGGCTGTACCAGTCCCTCATCACCGTGACGAGCGGCCTAGCTCAGTAGGTAAGGCAAGTAAGTGGCATTCAGGAGGTCTTGGGTTCAGTCCCCATTGGCCTCATGTACCTTCCTGGGAAAGCTTGGCATTGAGTAGAGGCTGCTGATGTTCATAGGGGGAGGGGACCGGTGGGGAGGCACAGTGACTGGCCCATCGAAGAAGCTCGGTCCTGATGCTACCGGCTGACCCTTTGCGGGTATCGCCCACCTGCTGGTGGGTGCAGCTCCTGCGTGTTCCCTCGTTGTTGGATGCTTGAACACGGATGTGGCTGCTATGGGGTTCCCCATAATACTATAATGACAATAAAAAAGGCCTGAAAGGCCTTACTGTCCCGATTCGACAGGTAATTGAATTGGTTGGGCTAAAAGAATTAGCCTTTTATTGTAAACAAAAAAAACAAAAACTTAAAACTGAAACCGTGACTTGGCCCTAGTTTTTTTCCCATGATTATGAAATATCCCAGGACAATCTGGAAACAGTTCCAGATCTCATACGATTCCAGGACAGGATGGGGATAAATTGGTAGCAATGAGGGTGAGTACTCCCCCTTCACTGTGAAACCATGGTCCTGTCATCTGATCTCCCTTCAATGGAAAAGACTGAAATGGGTGATTACTCCTCCCTGACGTCTACCCATTTGTGCTTGCACACAGAAAAAGGTTGATTACTCCTCCCTGCCGTCTACCCACTGGTGCTCCCAGTGCGAAGACTCCAGTCATACATCACTGACAAGTGAATGTTCACACCAATGGGAATGGGACAAATCACTTGCCAATGGGAGGAGTGGAGAAGATATGAAAACAGTCGGCGCTTGGTCCACCCGGCGATTGCTTGCCGTTGTTTTGGGTAAGAGTCTGGACAATTTTCTAAAAGTCTGGACTGTTTCTCAATTTATGCACACACACGATCCTCAGGGCAGGAAGCCCTCAAACTTGAGGAAAAAGTGTAGAAACGCCCGAATTGAGGAAAAATGGCAGAAACACCCAGGGTAGGCAAGTATGCAGTGACTCAGAGGTTTCATATCCGGGCCCATTCTGAGTCTGCATACCGGCGCAGATAAGTAGAGTTCTCCTGCCTCGGTGGCACCAAAACGAAACGGAAAACAAAACAAAAAAAAAAGTACTTGCTTTTTTTTCCCTTTTCTTTTATACTGAACAAACTTCAACAAAGCAAATATCATATAACCGGGAAACTGGCCCGGGGTCCCTTTACATCATTTGCTGCGCCCAAAAGGGCTAAGCAAGGCACTCTCCGCCAAACCTATCCCTACCGCAGCCCCACAAGGTCATGACCACCGATCTCAATCCCAACCCTAAAACAAAAATTGCGTTCCCTAGTTTAAGAAACCAAAATCCTAATCCACCCCTTCTCCAAATCGCCATGATTAAGCAACCCTAATCTAGCGAAATCCAAGCCAGGTAACAAATCGCCAACCAAAAGCACAGATTGTCAATGATCTAATCCTAATTACCCAGGGACAAAATCCCAAAATGATTCACAAAGTTCCAACTCTATACCCTATGCTCCTCCAATCAGCAACCCCAACTAAAATCCAAATCAGCAACCCACGCGATGGACCAACCCACAGGCAAAAGCAACAACCATTCACAAAATTCACACTCTACACTCTGTATACCTCCAATTAACACCGCAGACCAGCAACAAGGTAGCAGATCTTTGCCAATCTATAAAATCACGATCGCAATGACCACCAATCCTACCTAGCGAGTATCGCTACCCCAATTGTCGACAAACAAAGTCAACTAATTAGCAGTCCACAAAGACTAATTACACACCCCAAAGTTCCCAAACAACCATGATTGGTACTACTCTGTACTGAGAAACAGTTCTCAGTTTGTACTTAGCTGAAGCCAGGTAATGGCCCTGGTATTTCAAACGATTTGTAATTCTATATGGGACGCTGGGCCCGGTTCCCAGCATGTGCTGCTCCCCACGAATAGACTGGAGCATTCGTTCTAAAACAAAAACAAAAAAAAGAAGAGAAGACAGCCAGATAATTAGAATCTAAAAACACAATGAAGAATCTGTGAAAGCACCAAAGGTAAGAGAATCATGAGCAACACCACACCCGAAGTAGGAGCTTAGACAACAATGGATAACCCCGGTCGCAGCTTGAAACCAATTGTCAGCGACGGTCTTAGCATGAAGTCCGTTCTCTCAGTCCCAGAAGTTGACGTTTGTTGATGCACTCTTGTCCTTCATCTCCGGCTCTTCGCACAGATAAAACTACAACCGCCGTGATCATGTTCTGTATCTGTGGTCAGAGGGCAAAGCCCCTAATCAGGTGATAATACTGATATGTACGTAGCGCAGATCTTGCCTGCTGACCAACCCCACATCTCTCCCCTTCCTTCTGCGGCCAATCTAGGATGACCAACTCTAGATGGACAAGATCAGTCTATGGGGCAGAACTCGCTTTTCTTGAGTGAGTGCTGTGGGAATCCAGGAGTGTATCTGGCGCAGGAAGTGCAAACTATGAATCTCGTGTGGAGCATGTTGCAGCACAGCTGTCAGAGGACAACCAAGGCGACCTAAGTTCTTGCAGACAATCTTGTGTAGAGCAATAAGGTCCTCTGCTTTATTTTATTTTCAGCTGTAAGGAAAAATTATATACCGCTGCCTGGCGCTTGTTTTGCGAACAGGCCGTCATTCATGACCACGCGCCTGCATCTGGCACGGGAAATGTGCTACATGCAGGTGCTCTCTTCTGTGGGTGTTGGGCTGGTGTCAAGGATGGAAAACAGTGGTCTCCTTCACATTCGACGTCTGGCAGGTCCAGCACAGAGGGTGGTACCGGTACCACTCCAATTTTCCAAGAGCTGGCGTTTAGGCTCATAGAGGCTCATAGATTTAGGATCAGATGTACTGGTGGTGTAACCCCCGTCTGGCAGGTCCAGCACAGAGGGT